TGACGCTGACTCACGGAATGCAAAAGCACGTCGACGAAACGGCTACGATAACATACGTTATTTCAGATAGTGCAGATTTCTCATAAAACTTTATGATCGTACTTATAATTCAAGATTAGTCAAAATGAATTGAATATTCAGAACGAAATACGATTGCGTCAGTCATATCAAAAATCGCTTTGGGACAAACTTTCGACTATCTAATTTATGATTACGAGCAGTGATGGTGGAATAATAAATTGAAAGTGTTATTACAACGCGTAAAGTATAAATTTGATAAGAATTGCACGTTGAATGTAATGTAGAATTCGATACTAAGTTTTGGTAGCAAAATGTATATCACTCGAGATAGAAACGACGTGATGGTTCTTTCAACATTTGCATTCAGTAGATTCGTTTCAACTTTTAGGAGACCGATAAAGATTTTGAATATCTTTAAATACCTCTAGAGAAAATCTATAAAAACGAATAAATATATCGTGTTTAACTAGAAACCGTTCAAATACCAAATCGGAAAATATAAATATCTAATACTTAATGATTATTAATTGGTCTACTTTGCAATTCTGCTGGAGGCTAAAAAACTTGAATGGTCGCAGCATTGAATGAGAACAAATTTTTCCTCCGTCGCCTTGTTACGTAGCTCCTTGAGAGCTACTTGCAAGAAAGAGGGGAACCCACGAGGACAGTGTAGACTAACGCTAGACGTCGCTAGACCGGTCCTCGATAAAAAGTTATACTTGAACAGCGTAGACCTTGCATGCTTCAACTTCAGTTGTTCGGTGTCACGTTTACTGGGTTAGTACTGCCGATCGATGCAGCCGAGTCTCTTTAGCGTTGTTACTTCTTCCTTTTCTCTCTCGCGCTATTTTCTTCATTTTGATCATGCGGGTTTGCTGTTCGCTTACCACGCGCACACTTCGTACCCACTGGCCTACACCAGCGTGCTGGCCTGGCAACCTGCTTCTCTTCTCTCTTCCTTTCTTCTTCTTCTTCTTCTTCTTCTT